GGCTGCTTACATGTTTCCCTGTATGGGAATTAGTTCCCCAGTTCTGGCCACAGATTATGATGCCCAGACAATGCATCACATTAAGGTTTGTAGAGTACTTGCTAAGGGATGAGCATGGTCTAGGGCTGGGTAAAAAAATCGATTTAAGCGATTTTGAATTGATTCCTTTACATTTTTGCAAAATAGATGACTAGGGAATGAGATCGATTAGTTTTATAGTGACACGCGTGACGTTCACATTCAAATGAGCAGGAAAGATGCAGTCAAAATTACTTCAAGCCAGATAGCTGCAAATATAGCCAATAGGTTGACTGAAGACATTAACAAATGGGGGCTGACCAGTAAAAACACCCTGTAGTTGTTACAGACAACGAGTGAGGCTTCACTTTTTCACTTTTCACAAACAAGTTTGCACTTTTGAGACAGTTTTGTTCACATCTCAAGTTTAAACTGTCCGATTTACAAGTTTGCATTTTGTGTTTAATATGACAAGAAAAAATAAAATACATGAGTATTTTGAAACACAGTTTAACCACTTCCATCGTTGTAAAAACAGATCGAATTGCAATTATTCGATTTAGAACTGTATGAATAAAAATCGAATTGATTCAGGACTTTGGCGAAAATACCCAGCCCTAGCATGTTTCTTCAGACATTTGTTTGGATTTCTGTCACAAATAGCTTTTTTGTCACATCAAACCATAGAATTTTCGTTGCCTTAATCTAAAAATTTAAAATCAATGGTACTTTATGGCTAAATCCATGTCTGTTTTGCCAATCCAAATTAACAGCCTAATTTATTGTGAGTATAAAATATAGTTATTCCTTCATCAGCATATAAAATATGCCTTCATCAGCATATAAAATATAGTGAATCTTCTGGGTGAATCTCTATGTGCGCACACATGAGTACTGCTTAAATAACTATGAGATTATTTTTTAAAGGCATTTTAATCATGAAATTGCAATCAAGGAAACCAATGTAGTGCCCACGGGCACCAAGGGGCCCTTAAGGACCACATGGGGTGCCCTCAGAGTCTTATAAAAACAGAGCAACTCAACTGTTTGAAATTTTATTTTATTCTATTCTATTTTTCCTCTTTTTAAATCAGTTATAGAGCATTTCATCATATTAATCATATAGATTCATAGTTCAAAAGTCAGTGTTGTAGCACTTCATATAAGTAGCCCTTCCTACGGTAATTATTCAGTACCCATAAAGCAGCCTTCAGACTTGAAAAATAGGTCTATACTGAGATATTTACCTCTGCTGAGGAGGTTAGGTTTTTTTAGTCGTGTTTGTTTGTCTGTTAGCAGCATTATGAAATTTGCTTATTTTTGGGGCTCTGCTCTCTCATGTTTTATAGTGGTTTTTATATGGTTCGGCACATATTGCAACATAAGAAAACAAACTATAAGCATAAAACATTTACAAATTTTAGGCTGTAGAAAAGCTTAGTTGGTTTTCTATGTAACAGATGTTAGTTGGAAAACAACAGATGTTACTAAAGAAATGTTTTAAAGATCCCCTCAAACAAATAATGTTTGCAGGGTTATGACTTGGCTAATTTGTATCACCATTGACCAAACACATACTCACTGCATACCTCAGTATATGAAAATCCAATACAGACAAAAACATAAATAATTACAAAATGAGCACGTATAGCCATTTCCATAAGTTTCTGTTTTTAATTATAAACAATCACTTTTTATAACAATTGCTGTGATGATTATTAGCTCATTTTGAGCATACTGAACATATGGTCTTTTAAACATCAGACTATTTATTTTTTACTATCTTTTGTTCTTATACACTGACATACATTGGTAAATAGATAAATAAAAAAAGATGGAGGAGTTTGACAATTTCCCTCATGATTTAGGAAGACAAACTGCACAGCATGTGTACCTGAAATAAATGCAGGAAGCTTTTCGAACCATGTTGTAAAGCTGCTTTAAAAATGAGCAGGATTCATATCCCCGAAGGACCTGTCTGTGCATGTAACAGTGTGGTTAATGTGTCACAGGGGGAAAGTCTATGTCTGAATAGCTTTCTCAGACTGAGCCATGGCTCAGGTATAAATGTGATGTCCTTATCACATTGTGCCGGCAAGAAATTATAACCTGTAGCTTCAACAACACGGCCAGCGGAAAACAAATGAATAGCAAATATAAATTATTACTTCAGAGCTTTTGCTGCCATTTCTGAAGACATGTCATTATCTTTTGAGTTACCTTGACTGCACTTTATTCTCCTAAAAAAGAATCTCATAAGCAAAGCTACTACTTATCTGTGGTGGCAACAATCAAGAGAATAATAACTCAGCTACATCTGTCAGCTTTAGATGAAGCACAACAGACTTGTACAGACCGCTTATGTTTAAACTAAAGCAAGGTTTATGATCAAGAAACGTCTAAATATTCAAAACCACCGATTATAATCAACTTTGATCATCTATGATAAGCCAGAAGGTTTGTTGTTTGCTTGCTAGGAACATTTTGATTACTGTACCATGATGTTGAACAGGAGAGAAAGATGCAAAAGCAAATGAAAAAAACCCATCCCTCTGGAGCAACAACATTTAGGGGTCTATAGTTTTACAGAAAAAACATTTTTTACAAGAGAAAAACTGTTTTTGTTGCTCATGTAATGCTAATATTTCTATCGTAACTTCAAAGTGGACTACCTTTGGATGCAAACAGAAATTGCAGCAACAATAACAAAAAGATCTAGGTCTAATTATCCACATCTTTGGTCTCAGGTGGTGCATGAAACGTAATGTTTATTGATGGTATAATGATGAAACAGGAACTGGAGATGGAATTAAGAAGAATGCAAGCCCTCCTTATCAGGTCCTACCTTCTGCTCTCTTGTATATACCTGTACCTGACCCCCTAAAAGGGTTTTTAAAGAGAAAAATCAATTGCAATAACATTACTATGCAAAATACTACTGTACAAATCCATTTAATTAATTAAAATATTACTTAAAACTTTATTTCAGTAACTCAGTTCATTAATTTAATTCAATCCATTAAGCCACACAAAGTATATTGATTGATAACATATTTCTGTTAATTATGATGATTTTCAGTCAAGAGAAAATTGAAACAAGACATTTAAAGTAAGATTAGAATATTACATCCGACCAATACCCCATAACATTTTTAATATTAAAATTTTATCTTAAAAAAAACACTGCATGATTGCTATTTCCAAAAGCAATTGTAATTTAACAGAAAAGCCTCAATAGAACACAAAGTCTTATCTATAGAATATGACAAAAGTGGGGCTTGAGCTATCAGTTCTATAAGTGATTAGCTGATCAATGGATTTTTTTTGATTAATAACAGAATCTATAAAAATTTGCTTACTAATGAATTCATTTGTTTCCTTTTTTTCAATTATATATAATGTCAATGTGTGGTAAATGGACTACCATGGATACTAAGTCTACTATTCTACTATGGAGTACTGGTGAACAGAGCATGTTTACAGACAAAAATGAATATTTGAAAAATATTTGTCTATTTTCAACAATAAAAGCAGCCTTGGGGCAAACTAATGTCTGCTTCTCTGTAAAAGCCATAGAGCAGATGTGGTCCTATTAACTATAAAATCACAAAGAATTCAAAAACCTGGTAAACAAAATACTTTGTGTTTGACCTTAAACTTTCTTGTAAAACCTTTGCCCTAATAAAAATGAAAACTCTCCATCAGCATGAATCACTTGCTCTAGTAGAAAAAAAATTATACCATTTTGGATTTAGAGTTGGGGCACAATATTTGTTCAGGGACCGCAAATGGCTCCCTGGCTATTTACTCCTATGGGCAGAATTTTGAGGGAAGCATCAGTATTATGTCTCTAGTAGGGCTGAACGATTATTTGTCCTAGCAAAGTAACACGGAAGGAAACTCGATATCCTCCGCCACTAACTTGCTGAACAATGGCCTCAGACTGGACAAAAACTGAAACAACTGAAGGTCTGGTACCAAAGAGGAGCAGTACGTCACTTGTTTTGGGATTATTTTGGGTTTAAAAAAGAATAATAATAATTAATATAAATAATAGTATAAATAATAAAAAAAAAAAAAACATGGCTGGACATGCCGTGCTATTGGTGCAACCTCACGAGGTAACACAACGAACCTTTATCAACACTTAAAAAAACACCACAAGGCTGTGTATGATAGATGCATGGCCACCAGTGCCTCAACGTAAATTAAGCAAAGTACCACCCGACAGGGATCACTGACCGAACTGTTTGAAAGTGTTACTCCTTACGAACAAAATGCGAAACGGCAAACTGAAATAACTCTGGCAATAACGGAGTTTATAGCGAAAGCCATGATGCCCGTCAGTATAGTGACCAAACAAATCTGTTTCATAATAATTAGATTTATTTAAAGTTTAAATAAATAAAATGATTATGAAACATATTTTTTTGTATATCTTTAAAAAGATGTGAGAAATTAAACCGGAATAATCGCATTAATTCGCAATGTTAACATAAAAAAATCGTAATTAGATTTTTGTCCAAAATCGTTCAGCCCTAGTCTCTAGTTTTAAATATTATTCCCATAAGTTACTATGTCTGCGATATACCCAGATAACCTTTAGGATAACTAGATATAAGACATAGTTTTCACATACACAAGCTATTTTATCTTGTTTAGATGTCCAACATTGCTTGTTTTTGGGCATGGGAAACGATAAGGGTCAAACTCCCCAACAAGTTCCGATAGAAGTTTCTGATGCTATAAGGTTTTTATTTTTATTTTGTTTGTCTGTTTTTTGAGCTTGCAGCTTTTCTACACCATAATTCTTTGTTTCAGTTAAGCCACAATAAAAACATTTTGACTCAGTTTAATAACTCATCTGTGTTTTATTGATCAAGTGATTGGAGGATTCATTTCTTCAGTATCTAAGAGTGTTGATGCGTATAAATCAACACTCTTAGATACTAAGTGCGTATAAATGATCATCAGTAACTCACCTGCGAGGTAAAGGCTCAGTAGAACAGTGTGTGAGGGGGCTGCTGGCAGTGGGAGGGGGCTCCCTTCGACTTCTCAGAGACTGGCTCCTTTGAACCTGCCTTAGCACACTACTCTTCAGGTCCAGTAGTGTTGTCATGGTGTTTCACTGGCAAAAAGAGCAAGGCCAAAAATCAGAAATCTTTATATATATATGTTAGAATTAAAACAATGCTTATATGAGTAAAGCATTTATCTGCATACTTCTGAAGTTCTGTTTATACCTCTGTAAATGTTAAGCAACTACAAGATTTAGGACAAAGATTTATAAAAACACTCAAAAGCATCTCCTAGGCAATAATAGTTTTATTTAAAGAGTTAAAAATCAACTTTAAAGAAGAATGACAATGCAATGCTGCTCTCTGTTTGTTTTTTGTGGAAAAGCCTGTTGGTATATAGCTGGTAATGAGAAAATGCACAAGAGATATGATTAGGAACCCATTAATCCCGTCTGTACACAGTAATAACTGCATGTCCTCCAAACATAAACACAATAAACAACAGTCAACTTTTACTTTACAAAGGCTTTGGCAATAGATTTTGTGAAACTACTTCTGTATTTAATAAGAGCACTTGTCACTCTCGTGCATCCTCTTTCAAATGTCATCCTATCATTGCAGAGAAAGTTATTCTTGGGTTATCGTGATCTTAACGTAAGCCTACCAAGCAGCCTTAGAGAGACTGGTAATGTGTTGCTAAGCAATTCTCTGAGACAGAGTTGGTGTACTCGGAAACACTTTCCACAAAGTGAATTTTCATTTTGGCTTCCTAGAGTCCTCTAACTATGTCTAAATCATATGACCTCACTGTCTCTACTCTCCCCACACGACTAAAAAAACTGTTGTTTCACTGAAATACTTTATAAAAGAAAAGTAGGCCTGTATATTGATATATTCAACAAGCAACATATAAGAGGTAAACTAACGTACAAGACACAAATTTAACATTTTCTGAGTGCCATTTTATGCAAAGGTGCTGCAGCCTTTAACCAATGCAGAAAAGAGTCCATGATCAACCCTAACCGAAGTCACTTTTGATTGCAGCTCCTCGTGATGACCTTTTTTATAAGACTTCAGGGGAGGACCGTCATTGGAGAGCAGCTTTTTAATTTTAGTTAAGCCCTTTAATCATATAAAAATTAGCATGCTCATATCAAGGCTGTCCAACCAGTTTTCGTTCAAATAAAAAATGATGATCTTTTGAGTTAAGATCCAGTCTCTACAGCTGCAGTTCGGCTCATAGATCTGCTCATAAAGCTCAAAAACGTCTTAAGCAATTTAGGTAAAAAGCTTTGTCATGAGCTCATTTCTGCTTTTCAGATAAATAGCTTTTATGACAAAGAACAAAGAGACAAGCCTGCCATGAAACAACATCTTTAGGAAATGGATTTTGTCTCTGTAGATCTGGTGAAAAAATAAAACTTTTACTTATGTAGTGGTAAGGATTTAGTGGTGTTGGGCTGCATTGTCACTACACTATACATATTTTAGTTAATCTGGCAAACTTGCCCTAATTAATGCAACCATAAGCACTGTACTACCACAAAGTATGTCAGGCTTCAGTTCAAGATCAATTCATTAACACAATAATCAAAGCATAAACCTGAAAAAATATATAGTTAAGCTTAAAAAGCAAAGGAAAGAGCTTAAACTTTCTGTTGTTAATGCTAAAAATACCTCAAATGTGGCTGATTAAAATAAAATATGTAAAAGACAATTTGAAAGTAATCAAAAATGCCTTGCTGATGATTCTTATTGTAAAGGGTAAGATAACCAGTTATTAGGTTTATGGGCTAATTAAGCTCTCACATATGCTATGGCGGTTTAGATAGCATTTTCCTTAATAAGCAAAGTCTGTATTGCTGCTCTTAATTTTTACCCAGGATATCTTCTATAGCACAACTGGTTAGATAATCTGCCATATTTAGGTGTGACAAAAAAGGAAAACTAGAGCTTTAAGAGGCCAAATATGTTTTAAAAGCACTACTAAAAGCCCCGGCTGTTTGAGTCTGCATCTTTTTGTCAAATTTCAACAGTCGTAAACAGCGGTGAAAAATAGAGGCGACAAAACATAAAAAGGATCCAACAAAGATTAAACAAAGGTAGGGTTTGATTGATAGGAAGTTGTTTTCAGAGACAGACAGAGATTCAGACAGGCAGTCAGTTACTCTTTTCAACAGATGACAGCTTATGTCTTCGCATCTATGTGAAAATGATGCAACGAACTATTGTCAGTGGTTTGAGGACAATTAGCCTGGTGTGCTTACAGGAAGAGGGTGCTTGTTGTTGTAGCCCCTATTGGAGGTGATGCTAATTCATTTTTCTCACTTGATTTGGAAAGGCACAGTTTAGGCTTGTCTGTTTTGTATTGGAGTGCTTACTGCAAATGGATCCAGCAAATGAAACATGCAGGCCTCTTTGAGTGTAATAATTCGGCCAACAGAATGGAAAACAGAATGCACTCAGAGCTCCCACTCGGAGTAAGCCCAAAATTCATGGTACAAGATGCATCATAGTCTGAGCCAAAGAGCAGTCTGTTGTCTATCTAGGAGGCTGACATCGGTACAGGAAGCAGCTATGAGCTTCCAGTACAATTAGACACTATCAATGTGTCGTCTACAATGCATAAGAGGTACTGGTCATCCATTTATACAGTAGAGAATATCTCATTTCTATTAAAGCTTTCGAGCCTCGCAGTAACAGCTTTAAAGTATAAAGACAAAGCCAATGTTATCTTTAAGAAACCTATGATTGTTTAAGTGCATCAACTTCAGTGAAAACACCTTAAAGATATAGTGGAGGATTTTCTTTTTCCAGGTGGATCATCAAAATAAGTGGTCCTCCTAATTGTCAATAATTCTGGTGATTTTTTTACGTAAGGCCGTCTTACGTGCTCTTCCCCATTTTCCCTTACTAGAGGTGAGTCACATAGTGGAATTGCAAATCTTCTTTTGGAAAGTAAGTTTGTATGAGCGATGCAAACAGCAACTTTTAAACAGAGCGTGCACGAGGAGAAATGGGCTCATGCATGCTCTCTCACATGTTTAATAGGGGTTCCCTCCTGGGAGCGGGTACAGAGTTGTGCATGTTCATTTGTTTGTTTTTTTTATTCGAGTGGGCGGGTCTTTTCCAAAATTTGCAAAAATCCTCTACTATACCTTTAAGTCTCAGAAAAAGGCAGCAGAGATAATGAGTTAATTTTTAGCTTTTTGTTTGCATAAAAATATACAAATAAAAAATCAAGACAAAGCATAAATATTTTTAAAGTCAAGAAATATTATATATGATATTATGCCACCCCTCCTTCTCTCCACATACAGCTCTTCATACACCTAACACACACAGACATCCTGCCCACAATCAGTTGACCATCAGTCCATCTTATAGACTGGACTCACACCATCTTCATGCTATTTTTTTGTGTGCATTTCTTCTTCTGAATATGCAATAAATTCTAAACGTGCTTATAATTTTCCTTCTAAGAATGTTTTTGTATTTTTTTGTTTTTCATGTCTTTCTTGCAAATATGTTATCAATATTTTACAGCCCTCTTGGTTTTTTCTGCATGTTATTCTTAATTCTTATGGACCAATAAAATATGCTACCTTTTTTTACTTTTCATTTTTAAAAGCCTACTACAAAGGACATTACAACTGTATATATTTTAAATATATCTATTATTGTGTGTCTTTTTTTTTATTTAGCCAAGTTCATCACAAACAAACCTGTTGAAGGTCACATTTCAGAAGGACTGTAATCCAAATAGTTTCTTCTGTCTTTTTCATTTGGATTGGAAACATATTTGCAAGATATAGTTTGTTTGCTATTTTATGTCATCAACTATTACAATTTATAGACATCAATAATTATATCAGACATAACTGTTATAAATTCAACTTTCTTATTTCCTGTAAAAATGTAAACAAAAGATTAATTGTTACCTCCAAATTGAAAAGGCTTGGCAAGATTATTTACAAAGCATGATTAACTACAATGATAATTCAAAATGCTTTAAATTTAGTGGGCAGAAACTTAACACCCAGCCCTCAGCAACTGGGTATGTGTGCCTGATTCCGTCTCTGCAAGTAAGTTAAAACTATCTTAGTTTTTAACCAGCAGTAAATGCCTTGAATGAAGTGATTAATAGAAGGAAGCTAATGAGCCACAAAGACGAACCAAAAAATATCTACTGTCAGCTTTTTTTTTTTTATAGCAAATGAATGTTTGATCGACTGAAGCTTATTGATTGTCTTTGACTGATTAACTCCATGCCTGCATGTGAATATTAGCGCAGACGCACAAACAACATAAGTAGCATTAAATTTGATTCCTCTTTATTTTTGTGGATAATTATTAAATTTAAAGAAATAACAATACAGGCAGTAAAGATATACAGTCATTTTTTTAAGGTTTCGCTCTTGGACTTTGAAATTCCACTCTTGTTAAACTGTGACCTATTTCTATTCTATAGTGTAACTTTTCTTATGCTGCTGAGGGTGGCACGACATTAATAGAATTTTTGCTTTAAAGCACATAACTATGTTTGGTTTTTTTGTGGTACATGCAAGAACATGGTATTTCACTAATACTTTGTTTGCAGGCTAGGCACTTCTTCTGCTTTAGAGAAAATATGACATGTGGATAGTTCTGACAAGAATCCAACATGGACATCAATCCATCCATCGATTTTCTGCACAAGCTTAATCCTTGCAGGTTTGTGGGGGGGCTGGTCCCTATGTCCATCAGTCAATGGTCAGGGAGGTTGGGTGCAGTCTGGAGAGGTTGCCAATCCATTACAGGGAACAACACAGAGTGCCCTTACACACTTTAATGTATAATGGTAGCTTATAGTAGTCAATTACGCTAACATGCATGCATTTTCACGAAAGAAACCAGTAGGGTATTCCATAGGTGTAGCGTACCCACATAAACCCCATCCACACATGGACAACATTTTGCACAGAAAGCTTTACATTGGGATTTAAACTACAGACTTTGCAGCTTTTTCTTGTAGATACATAGCCAGTGAATATTTATCTTAACTGCATGTGTGCAGAAAAGCATGGGTCTCTCATCATTATTATATTAAGGTACAGCACGGTTTTAAAAAGTTAAATGTTGAAAAATAAACCCCATTCTACTATTTATATTACTTGAACTTTAACAATGTGAAAAAGAAAATGCTAGAGTGTTGTCTTTTTTTCCTCAGTAACAACCCCCACCCCCCCACCCAATCCATTGTAGTACACCATTAGTCAGCTAACTGAATAAAGGCCACTATGCAATTCTGAAACTTGCATAAAATCGATATTTTGTTATGATTGTAAATATACCTGGTGATCAAAAACATGTTCATTCTATGGAATGAAAATGCAAAGTCACTCATAATTGTTGTCAAGGTAACATTTTTAAAGTTTTAGGAGGTATCTAAGCAAGTGGATCTTTTTTTTTTTTGTTTCAATGCAAAGATGCTGCTAAACTGTGGTGATTATCATCGTGTCCAATTCTTAATCTTCTTTAAATACCTGAAAAATATTGTTGATGCATTACTTAGCCATACTAAAATATCATAGAAAAAAAAGAACATTAAAATAATATTCTCATGCGGTGTCAAGGGTGGCAATGGGAGAAATATTTTCTTATGGCAAAATTGCATAATAGATAAAAAGAAACAACTGCCTGTAAGCAATCTCAGAGAGCTTCAGCAAATCATGTTTTAGGGGAGCTTTTGTCTTCTTTAAAGCCATCAGACCATACTCTGTTGGCATGGTGAGCCAGGATGGAGGGCTGCTCCATTGTACTCACTCTACAATTACTCTTTATTGTGACCACAAATCAACTAAAATGTGCAAACAAATTCAACACAATCTGCAAACAGTGAACAAAAATGGAGAGGATAAAATCAAGAGATGTTAAAAAGGTGACAAAAATATTACAAATCAAAGCTTCTAGTAATCAAAATGCTCAATAGGAGTGTAAGCACCTCCACCTTAAAGCTGAGCTGCATCTATATTTATGTGGATTTTGTCACTGCAGGTGAACAACTGCTCAACGTTTCATGCTCCATCAAGTGACTCCTATTTAGCAGCTCTCTGCTCTTTTTTTTGTTGTTTTTATGCATCTCTCAAGGCAATCCATCCATAATATCATAGGCATATTTGGTGGGAGCACTGAGCAGAAAAGTGTTTCCCAACTTCTAAACAATAGTGTCACAGGCCGAGTGATAACTGCTCAGGGCTCTTCTATCATTTCCACATGCACAGACTGTGACAGCTACCAGGCGCCACGCTGCAGCTGTCTCCCAGGTGAACTCATTTCAATTACAGGGGTGGATTTCTCCCAGCTGGATTTCACACGGTCTCGCTCGTCAACCCGAAGTGACAAAACGGGGTGACGTGCCGCCGTCGTTGGGCCACGGGCTTCCAGGGAAACACTGTCAAAGCTAAGTAAATGCCTCTCTCACTATAGTGGTGCCCAAGTCAAACCAGGGAGGCACATGCCTAACAGAGTCTTTCCTGCGAGAGAGCTGATGAGCCCTGCAGCCAAAGTCGACTTGCTGATGGGGATGGAGTGTCTCTATGGTAACCGCGGAGGGAAAGGAACCGGTAAATACAGGTAAATGTAATTCTGTGAAGGATAAAAAAAAACATCCCCTCCACATTAAAATGTGTTTATTCAGATGCACATTTTCTAAATAACAGGTTTAATGATGAAAACATTTGCCCGTAGTTCAAATAATTTTCAAAGAGCATATTACCCTTTTAAATACTTAAGGTATATTATAAGGTCTATTGGATGCACTCAAACATAAATCCAAAGATACAGTAGGGAGAGAATAAAGATCATCACGCAATTTATTCATTTACCAAGGAGAGGGTCTTAATAATTTCAAATTAAAATCAATATCCGAATATAGACTATTTTTCACGGTTCCTCCGAGTCTCGAATATGAAAAGACACAGCCTGCTCATGTACAGTAATTGAATGTGACAAGACTTTCACTTAAGACCTCAATATTTCCCATGGCTTTGTTCCGCAAACCAGCCAGAGGGGATAAGGGTACAAATCATATCACAAGCTTGAGGAGATTATGCTGTAGTGGTGCTGATGTTTCCTGATTAGCTTAAAGACGAGGCAAAAGGCTTTATCAATGACCATTAATGTTATTATGTGGCAGGGCCTTAGGGACTCATAGGCTAAACGATGTCAGGTCTGTGTCGAACCCTTAATAAGCTTTCCAAACAGAAGGATGGAGGGATGTAAAAACAGAGCAGACATGACTATGAACTTGAACAGCAGCTACCTGTGGATAACACATAATCCATAACCAGCTGAAATGCGCAACACTTGTCTATTCCAAGCAGCTTACGTTATTAAGGCACATGACAGGATCTTTGGCTTCAGAATTGATTGCCGGAGAATATTCCAAGAATTGACGGCTGTTTGCTTTTGTAAAAAGCCTCTGCTGCACAGCCAAGCTGCAGAATTCACTGACAGTTTAACACAAAAAAAATTCAGGGAGCACAATGGCTCAAAGTCTTGCTTTTTATACCCCAATAATACATTCTTTTGTCAGCCTGATCACACTCTGAGAAGTACCTCTGTAGTCAATAATAGCAGCCATTGAGTTTTTCTGCAGACGCAATAAAGCCACCTCCATAGTTTACGCAAAAACATCAATCTGCATCCAAGACAAGACAGTCTGCCACATTAAGACTCTCTGAACTCATAGTAGTGCTCAACAGGCTGTAATTACAGTCAGAACAAAGCAGCACAGTTGTAATACATTACTATCACCATTTTGTGTCATGCCTCAACATTTGAGAAGCTGTGCTTTTAACAAGTGGTTTATGAGTTATGAGCATATATTCTCCCTGTAATAAAATGTAATTACTAAACATATAGATCAGTCTGAGATGAGGCTAGGATTTGCTGGTTGTGCCTCTAAAGAAAATCTACTGAGAGCTGCACTTAAAGACAGATCATGTTTCCCAAAAGATTTCTCCAAGATATAGACAATTAAATTAATAATACTCTGCACAGAGCAGCTGACACATGAATGATAGATGGTAAAACCTGATGATTCTTATTGCCCTTTTAATCAACTGGACATGCAGTTGTTGTCAATATAAGCAGGACAGGTATATTGAAAGCAGTGAGGGGTTAGGGCTGTCTCTGGGGTAAGACAGTGCGAGCTGTGATGTCTGTGAGTGTGTGTCAGTGAATTACAGAGGGAGAGAGTGAGAGAGACCCCCACAGGATTCTCCACAGTACTGCTTCTGAAACAAACCATCAAATGCATCATTCAACTCAGGATATTTTCAACATGCAACAATCCCTTCAAAACCCCTAATGTCATTTTACCTTTGTTTTGTTTATCTTTTTCATTTTGCAGAATTGACCAAAAATGCAATCTTCAATAAATGCATGACCAACAAACATGTATTCCAATCCATGCGTTAATAATGCTCTATAGCCAGAAGATTTTATTGACATCCCCATTTATAATTCCGAGTGGGTTAATTTTTACCATTTTACACTCAAATGAGTTGCTGTTTGAGCAGAAAAATGAACTTCTGCTAATATTCCAGACAAAATAATATCATTTGTTATTTTCTTAACACAATATGTCTGGCAGGTATAATTCAGGGCTAAAGTCTTATTAATTCCCTTCTTTCTCATACTTAGAGAGAACATAAAATAAACTTTGTCCTTCTTTGAATGGCTCATCTGAAATTATCTAGAACTTAATTCAAATCAACAGGTGCCAGTGCAGGATCACATTTCGCAAATGCAGAATAAACATCAACTAGTGCATAATTTTGCATGAACAATAGTGCATATATTTTCTATAAACAAAATATATATTTTCCCTTACCTGCGTTTTTGGACAGTTTTTCCGGTGTGATTTTTTTTTTTTTTTTTTTTATAAGGTTGCTTGTGTCAGAGTTCCTGCAATCAAAGCTCTGATCAGTGCAGCAGGATGTCGCTCCTTGCTGTGAACGTGACGCAGTCAACTTATGAGAAAACAACGTTTGGGTCTTTTTCCTCAGAAAGACGACAGACAAAAGCTCTTATTAGTCTCTCGAAATGCTTCCCCTCCGCTCCCCCGATGCCACCCCAAATATGGTCATAGGAAGTGGAGTGACGCTTCAAGGACCCTCTCTGCTGTCGTAAATATCGCATCTATCCATGAACTTGTTCCCACCTTTACAAATTTTGAGAACAGTTTTAAGGATTATTTTCATGTTAAAGATATTCATCAAAGCACCATTTTGAAGCAGATAATCCTTGTTAATGTTTTAATTCATAACATTTGAGGAAATGTCAGGGTAGGTATAAACCAGTAGGAAATGGCATGGTCACTTAAGATAAAAAATATCTTGCTGTATTATAGCATTTACACAAAATTTATTCTCTAGCTTAGCTAGAGAAGAAAGATGCTGCACCAACTAAAATAATGTCACATATTATTGTTACAATAATTTGAAATGAAAGTAATTTGTGGTTATCATTTGAAATAAAGATTAAACACTCTCCAAATGTAAAAGTTTTTCGAAATTGATGTGCTTGGCATGCAGTATTTTGTATAAGTTTACCATTCTTTATACAGCACAAGTATTAAAATTTATATTATTAACTTTTTATTAATCATAAATAAATGTAAAATAATGTATATATATATACATACATTTATTTTTTATTTTTTCCTACTTGCTTTGATTCTGTTTTATCTTCCTGTATTTTAATCATGTAAAGCACTTTGCATTGTCTTTGTACTAAATTGTGCTATACAAATAAATTTGCCTTGCCTTTGCCTTACATATATATATGTATATATATATATATATATATATATATATATATATATATATATATATACTGCAGTGAAGTGGTGGACAAAAAGCAGAGAAAAGCTGTTGTGGTTGACACAGTCAGGTGCTCAGAGAAGAGCTGGAAAAAATCTGGAAGGTCAAGGCATCAGTGGTCCCTTGATCATTGGGGCACTCAGGGCAGTGACCCCCAAACTTAAGGAGTGGTTACAGCAGATCCCTGGAAATAGATCAGACATCTCTGTCCAGAAAAGTGCAGTTCTAGGAACAGCAAAGATAATGCGCAGAACCCTCAAGCTTGCAAGTCTCTGGTAAAGGACCCGAGGGAGAGACCTCCT